AGTTGACCACTATTACCCGTAACAGCCTCGAATAATTTCCCTACAATCATCGAAGTTCCTCCAAACCTTTGACGTAGTATGCTCATAGCCTCGTAGTAGCCCTCTTTTGGCTTTATAAACTTACAGCACTGTATAGCTCTTGAAGCCGTTCCAGTGCAATACCTCATCAAATACATCAATTTCATTTCATCATTTGATAAAAAACCACTTAACATGATTTCAAATTCTCTTACAAACTGTTAATCATCAGCCGGGTTTCCATCAAAACACCGTGGTTCAAATTTAGGGAGTTTGATGTTCCTATTATCCCTGAACGGCGAAACAGTAACATCAACCATGTCATGCTTAACATCAAACACATCGTTACAATTAACAGACAAGTCACCATGACTTACTTTCCTGTTTGCATCCAAGACACTCTGTCCCTTCTTTGACCCAGGCATTGTTGAACTTGACCCAATTCCAAAGAAGTTCCAGATATCGCTTGTTCAAAGAGGACTTGACCGGCACCAGGAAAGATGAATGGTGACTATCCAAAGTCGTGCCAACTGTCCAAAACCGTTTAAAAACTGACGTTGATCTGTCAGAAACTGTCAGCCACGTCTCATAAACCGTTAATGCCCAGCTCTTGCTACGCTCGGGCCCACGCTGTTCCTTGAAGTTTTCAGAAACGCTTAGTTATAACGGACGAAAAAACCAAAACACCGATTGGTCGCTTGAGAATTCTTTATTGTTACACCAACATATAAAAACAATAACTGAACTAAGGTCTGTGAACAAATATTACAACAATAAATCATAGTATTACTTCTGACGATGTTTCACTCTTCTTTCTGAACAGCGACCGATGAGACGATGACTGTCGTATTTATGCCTCCGCGAAAATTGGGGAAGTTGATTTTGAGCAAACAACCATGAATTGATCGTTCAATCTTGAACTACATTGACATGTGGCATGGATTAGATTTTTACGTTGTCAAGTCGGCGAATTTGTAAAGTAAGAAAGCTGTTTGAATGTTGTTGGGTTTGATATTTTAAACAGTTAAAGCGGGATGTAGCTAATAATTAAGGTGCGCATCACGCAATTCTTCATTTCGTCACTTTGTGTGAAAGCGATGCATAATTTTTATTCAGTTATTTTGGATATACTCTTTCATATCAATGCATACAGATAATTATGGACATCAGTTTGATTGGGATAATATCGAAATTGTAGACAGAGGAATCGCCAAAAGTGCCAGGGAATTCCTAGAAGCCTGGTACTCAAACGAACATGAAATTAAAAAACACGTTAATATAGACCAAATATACCAACAAATAAAAAGTAGACTATGTGACCAAAACGTTTAAAATCCAAAGTGAATAGAAAACGATCAATGCATATGTAAAGATGGTTACTGAGAGACGCAATTCTATCACTCAAGAAAAAATTTAAATCACTTCACTCTATGCTAAAGATTGCCCCGAAGATGTTGTCCATAAGGATGACGAAAGCTTCGCAACTAAACCAACCGCCTTAGAGAGCACCACTAATTGTAATCTGGATTCCATTATATATTAAGCGTTTTTGATGTGAGATGCTATTTGTGGCTTTTAAAAACTCTGTTGGAGAAATTCTTTGGGAATTTCGGTAATACTTGATATTTCTTCTTATTCCATTCCACTTGTTATTATACCATGCTCGGCTAAGAAAGCTGAGGTAATGAATGTTGTTCTTCTGATGGACTGTGTTGATTGGAAATCTAAAAGCCGTTGGAAACCGATATGATATATATAGAATTCACCAGAGATCAGAGATCTCATCTATTTAATGATACTCCAGACAGAAGGTCCTGTAACAACACCTGTCAACGGAAGTGAACATTGAACTTTGGTTCATTGACCTTGTCAGCAAAGTCTCATAAACCGTTAATGCCCAGCTCTCGCTACGCTCGGGCCCACGCTGTTCTTAGAAGATTTCTGAGAAACGCTTAGTAACAACGGACGAAAAAACCAGAACACCAATTGTTGACTTGAGTATTATGTATTGTTACACCAGCATATAAATCAAGTATCACTAAGCAGATTAAGAAAACTAAGGTCTGAAAACAAATATTACAATAATAAATCTCTGTATTACTTCTGACGATGTTTCAATCTTCTTTCTGAACAGCGACCGATGAGACGATGACTGTCGTATTGATGCCTCCGCGAAAATCGAGGAAGTTGATTTTGAGCAAACAACCATGAATTGATCGTTCAATCTTTAACTCCATTGACAGACCTTGGCCGCCATTGGTGGGCAGCTCGAGGGCGCGAATGGTTTGATCGTCTACAAGTTCGATAAAGACGAACGAAAACGAATAAAAATTTGTATTATTCTCCGCTGTAATTGCCAAACAATATAACTTTCTTCTTACAATACTGGTGTTTTGGAGTTAAAGTCGAAGAAAGTAAATAGTATTTCTCGGTGCGGAGCGTCTTCATAACAATAGGAACGTAGGGATAAGTTCTTTGACAACACCTATCAATATATGATTACTGTCATTCACAACCAACGGGTAGTGCCGTAAGATCAGCGAAGCAACATTGCCGGTAGACAAGTTGAGCAACGTGTGACGGCGTAGCAAATCAAAGAAATTCGCCAACTCATTTGAACCTCAGCCGTTTCGCCGTCAGCTATCATCTCGTTCATCCGTCTGGATTGAAACACTTGGTGGCTAATTTAACTTTCAAGAGACAAGAGCTCGGCAGCTTTATTGTTGTGTGACCATCTAATTGTACACTCTCTCCAGACCATCGTTAACAAATAGATCTTTCAGCAGCCGTAGGTGTCATGTTGTCCTCTCGCTGATTGGAGTGGTGTTAAAGACAGCCCGGCCACCAGCTTAGGCGGGTTATAGAGTCAGCATGTGACGTAGCCAGGGCTCACTTCCAGCAGAACTGACAACCGCAAAACAATTGTGAGCGCTATTTTTATTTGGAGCCGATTGGAAACGATATCTAAGCTGTTGAAGCAGCCTGACTGTTGATTTCCCTTGCTCGTCTCGAATGTTGGCGAACTGCGTGGTTTTAGTATTTCTGATATTTGTGCATTTTCTCATTTGCGTATTAACTTCCGTGATATTTGGCCATCAAGACAAGGAGGCTTGAGACTCTGAACATTAATTCGTAGGGAGCAATAAGGATCTGCCTTGAGGGCGAGATACACTCTTATATCCTTGATGTTTAGCAACTCCGTATCAAGTTTGGTAATATAAGTCACAGAATAATAACATGACGGCCCACTGTTTGAACAAGAATTATCTTTGTAGTGGTCTGGGCCAGTCGATACTGCAGCCGAAATGATTATGCCGGGGCTGGTAGTTTTGGCGGCTCTGTCAGCGGCTCCTTTTAACCTTATTTCGTGTGGGTTATGAAAGGGCTATTAGCGACTAAATACTGCACGTGACGAGTATTTTGGTGCATCAAGGTGAGCATTTTTGAACAGCTCTTGCACCTTAAGTGGATGTGTAGGTGCAGCTCTCTTGACTGAGGTGGTTTTCGGAAGATGACTACGGTATGGAAAGGCGCTATGAATAAAATCACTTGCAACCTCAATGATGTTTTCGAGAAGGCTCCCAATAATTGAGTTAGACGTACTTTGTGGGGCGAACTGAACCTCCACATGGGCGAGTTGTGCGGGTGGTTGATGTTTTCAGTAGGTGGGAACGGTCGGCCTCAGCGACTATTGTACACAGATTGGTGAGAAAATGGTATAAAAAAGCAGTTACAAAATAACTCTGAAGTAAATGCAAGTACAAAAGTACTAGTAATAGTGACAAAATAAACACAATATAACAAATAATTAAGCAGAAATATGGGTTAAGCCCCAAAAGACGCACCTTTGAGACAGAAGGAGCGGATGAAGTTTGTCCAAGAGCCCTGTGAACGGACCCAGAGACCCCATGCTCGCTTCATTATCGCAAAAGATTCGGTAGAGAGGAGATGTACCTACTGATTGAAGTAAGGGTTGTTGCTAAAATGTTACTAGTCCCATGCGCTCCGATTGGAACGTGACTTCAACAACACTCCATTCAAATGAACTATCGTCAAGATTTGACAGAATAGTTCTAAAATATTTGGGTGCCGAGTGAGTAGACATTTGTAGCAAAACTTTGGAATTACTCATTTCAATCTCGCTGAGATGTACCATATTTAATTTTCTTACGTCCTCTTCAGATGGGTCCACGGTTGGCCAAAATCTCTCATCTCTTCTTCACACGATCTCTTACATGTCAAAATAGGCCGCATCTCCTTTGGTTTCTCCTCGAGGACATGGCGTGCGATGTCATTCGGCGGCCTCCTCAACGTATGGCCTATCCATCTCCACTTTCTCCCACGTATTTGTTGGGTGATTGGCTCTCACTTGTTGGTTTGTTCCCATAGTATCTTGTTGCTTATTCTTTCTGGCCGTTTGACATTCAGTATGGAGCCGGAAAAGCGGCCTTTGGGGAAAGTTTGCAACATTTTGGAAATCCTTTGCGTGACACAGTGCAAGCTTCTGACCCGCATAGAAGCACCGACTTGACACTAGTGGTGAAAATAAGAACCTCGATCCTGATAATGAGTGCGAAAGATTTACAAACTGGTTTCAGGTTGATGAAGGCATATCTCGTGTTTCTAGTTCTGTCTGAGTTTGACATCTTCATTTTAACGCAGCACAGCCATAGCCATTCGGGGTAAAGACTGTGTAGTTTTCGCGGTTGAAAATATTGTTACATCAAAGCTCTATGAACCTGGCTGTGTGAAGAGAATATACAACATCGATGGCCATATTGGTATGGTAAGCGAATAAGTGTATTATTTCGGCTTTAGGTTGTCATGGGATTCCAGACCGATGCTAAAGCCATTGTTGAGGCTGCAAGAGATGAATGTGCGAATTACCGTGACAGCTTCGGAAGTCGTATACCTTTATATGTAGATGTGGTTTATTTTAAAGTATATCTTTGTAGTCCTTGGCAGAGCGGCTGGCTATGTATATGCATGCACATACACTTTACAGTGCTGTAAGACCATTCGGTGTGTCAGTTCTACTTGGATCATACGAAGGTGATGGCCCTCACCTGTATGTTATCGAACCATCTGGTCTGTCTTTTGTAAGTAAATTACCAGGCTAATTAATCTGACTTTTTCATGAGCGTAGTTTTTGGTTCCAAGTAGACTGCTAACATATTACTATGTACCAGAATAGTTTGTGTAGCTAACTCAAAAATAATATTTTCTTGATTCATAGACTAAGTTATCAGCTTGTCGTCACTAGGTTGTGTTCAGTTTGATTTTGATTTATCTGTGAATGAAACAGCCTACAGTACCACTTACCTACGTATGTAGACTTTTCACACCACTGCCTTTCAATTAAGCCTTACAGTAATTTTGTTGATTTCTTGATGCAACAAAGTTTCATGTCAAAATGCGTCAGTGAAGTTGGCCAAAATGCGTAGACGTGGTCTATCAAAGTTAAATAAATGTGTAACGGTACTGCACTCAGCATAGTTTACTTACGACAAGCTATTCAAATAAAGATGAGTACTTTTTCGGTCAGTATATTTGACCATTTTACTCTATATATTATTTCGGTCTTTTTATGTAAGACAAGGACATGTTCGTAGATGAGTCGTCAGATAGCAAGAGATGGACAGTACACAACTATTTACTTTAATCTGTCGATCTAGTATGTTTTTTATCCAAATATTTGATGGGAATTATTTCTCTGAACTAACTGTTCGTCACAAAATGGTCAACTCTTCATGTAACTATTAATTTTGTAAGTATCGTACTATATTATTGGATTAATTAACGTTTGACTAGGAGACTTCTATTAAGACTTGTCTGATTCCTCGTTTCAGTATGTATTATGTGCACATCAGCGGACTCCTAGCGATGCAACCTGTAACCAAGTATTATTAACGGTGCATGAAATCTAGGTTTTACACAGTAACACATTGACGAATGTCCAGTAAATAAGTGTATTGGTTTCCCCCTAAATATTGTTTATTAATTGATGCAATTGTGTTATTTGAAGTATCAGAAGTTGCTTATTAGAGTATATTCGGTTTTTATCAGTTAGCTTAAGGTGGTAGTGAATACTATCTATATTTTCATTTACATGCGTGAACTTGTCGTTTGTTTTGAATTTTTAATGTGTGTAAATATTTCACCTCATGTGTTAAAGGCCTATTTTGGTTGCGCTATCGGTAAAGCCAAACAAAATGCAACAACAGAAATAGAGAAGCTTAAAATAAACGACTTGTCTCCAGAAGAGCTAATTAAGGAAGCCGCCAAGATGTAAGTTTTTATGTAATGCCTTAGCATATATTTCTTTTTTTGTTCTGCTTATATGGATACTGTTTAGTTTTTGTGCTTCCACTTTTGTTAACCTTGGAAGGCGATTAAATGCGAAATAAACAGTCTAGAATGTAATCTGTTCGCATTTTGCGGTATCTATAATATTTAAATGTTTCACGTAATATATAAAGGTTTCCAGTGAACACCACTCATTGTTAGGTAGTCGTATACACTTGAGAAGTCCTAAGGAGGATGGGGCTTAACATCTACACCACTAAAAAGATGACAGTCGTCTTGGGGTCTTAGTGAACTCATTTAAATGGTCCCAATAGTAGTTTTTAATTTATAAGCACCTGGCTGCTGAATTTAATTACATTATTATGATATATCACTTCAGACTTTCATAGGTTCTGAACAAGTCAATCGTAAATTTCACGGTTTGTTACTAATAGTGAAGCGATCACCGACAAACGATTATTTCCATTGTACAACTTAGCATGGAGATCAAAACAGTAATTTAGAAAATGGAAAATATTGTCAAGGAAGCTACTCAAACAAAACAATGTAACTAAAGGTTGTAGAAGAAAAATGGCGAAACAAATTAAAAATAAGGCAATTTTCGCTACGCTGTATAACGTAGGCAACTGTTACCTCGTAAATTAGAGCCGAGAAAAATGTACTTTCCCACGTGGTGGGGCAATCATGATTAATGTATGTTTCAGGCGCCTAGAGCCGTGTTGGCTTTTAGTTTCAGTCTTTCTTAAGTTTCCATATTCACTTTCCACGTCTTCATACTGGTTTCACCGAATGTAGGTGATATTTTAAAAGCAACAATGGTTGCACTTTTGAATCCCCTACTATTAATTTCTTTTTTGTTGTATTATGCCAACTTGAACTTCTCTTGTGATTTGATGCAAGTAAACCATTCTATCAGATAAATATCTACTATCAGAATGTAGGAAAAGGTTGATAACCTTTACTGAAGGTCTCTTTCTTGACAAAGGGAATTGTGGATGCATACGCTAAAGACAAATTCGAAAGAGGTTGAAATGAATGTTAAGAAAATAAAATGTAAACTGTTGCAGAACAGTAATCCAAATAAGAATATGTATGATGGGCAAGTTAGGAACTCCAGACAATCCCTAACAGCCACATAAACATACTGAACTGCTGCATAGTATATTCGACATCGCATAAGAAACAAATACTACGACTAAATAGGGTACGTCTAGAAAGATATCTGGAAGCATTGTTGTTTTACTAAGTGATATACCCTACAAATAAACAATGGAATTACGATTTTATCATAGTGTGTGGTTATCACATAAATTTCGGCAGATTAGTATACACTAACGCACAAAATTCTTCACACATTTAGTGCTCTTTGAATTTGAATAAAGCAAGAACGAAACTTTATTCAGAATAAATTGGTTATTATTTTTTAAACTATTTTTCCATTGGGTTTCGAGTTTAACATAGGGCTTCAACAACATATCTCCACGTTGTCCCATATTCAACAGTCTTCTTTAGCTGGTCCCACGATTGCCCGTAGTCTCTAGTCTCTTCGTCGCACTATCTCCCCCATGTCACCCTCGAACGCTCCGCCATCGTTTCCCATTTGGGTTCCATTCCAGGGCCTGGCGCGCAATGTCATTCAACTGCTTCATCAGCACCTACCTGATTCATCTCCATTTTCTTCTGCATATTTGCTGAGCAATAGGTTCTTGGTTAGTTTGTTTCCCTAGTGTCTTGTTGCTAATTCTTTCTTTCTGATATTCAATATAGAGCTAAGACAGTTGTTGATAAACGTCTGCAAGTTGTTGGAAATGCTTCTCGTGACGTTTCAAACCCATACAAAAGAACTGGCTTAACGTTTGTGTTGAAAATCCAAATTCTGTTTTCATACTGAATGCAGATGATTTCCAAATTGGTTTCAGGGTGCCGAATGTGTATGTTGCATTCCGATTCTGGTTTTGACATCCTTATCCGTTCCATATATGGTTGAAAGGATTCTTCCCAGATAAGTGAGGGAAGTAATCTCTCTCAAAATTTCTTCCATTGATAGTGATTGGTGCCGGTTATTGTTGCTGTTGGTTAGTAATCTTCATCACCTACGTCTTTTCTATGTTCACCTAAAGTCCTGTCTCCGCTGCTTCTTCAGCCAGTTTGTTGGTTTTCGCTGTAAATCTTCAAGTTTGTGTGACACTAGACAATCGTCCACGAAGTCTAGATCCCATAGAATCTTTCTATCGACCCAAAGTATCCCTGTCTTCTCGTTCCCCACAGTTTGTTGTATGATTCAGTCCACCACAATCACGAGTATCATTTGTAATAGTAGGCAGCCTTGTCTTACTCCTGTATTCCCTTCGAACGCCTGGCTGAGTTTTCCGTTGTGGACCAGCCGACACGTTGTACTGTTGAATGAGGTTGACAGGCTTGAGGTACTCCACAGTGTTCAAGTAGTTTCTAAATTATTTCTCGGTCTACGCTGTCGAAGACCTTTGCCAAGTCGATGAAGTTGAGGTAGAGGTTTGACTGTCATTCTATGCTTTTTTCTACGATGATCATGCGTAGAGTTGCGATTCGATCAGCACATGACTTGCCTTTCCTGAATCCAGCCTCTTCCAGTTGGCGGAGTTCTGCATCCAGTGCATCTTCTATTCTTTCCAGGATGACGCGACTTGGTATTTTCCTTGGCGTGGACAGAGGCGTAATTCGCCCTTCGTTTCCAGTGCTTCTCAAGTCTTTCCATCGTAAATCGCTTGACATGTGGCATCATATACTGCTGAATGAGACAGATAAATATTCGGGGGATTTCATGGTATTGAAGTAATTTCTGAATCGCCTCATGGCTAAATCCGTTGAAGTCCTTCATAACGTTGAAGAGCCTGTGGAAGACATTCGATCATCAATCTCTGGTCTTTTTTTGGGGAGGGGGGGGATGCGCAACGCCGTTACTGGCACGCTGCAGCTTGTTGAAAGCGGAAGTTTGCTAGCATAGTACCATTTGGTCTCTTCAGGATGGTGTGGCTTAATATTTTGCTTTGGGTGGAAAAGAGTATGATTATGCGCCAGTCTTTGGGCAGGTAGGCCCACTTCATTCTTCTTAGTATTTTGACAACGCAACCCTTCCTCATTTCAGTAGGTACATCTCCTCTCCCAAATCTTTTGCGATGATGAAGTGAGTATATCCAGTGGGGTATGTGGGTCAGTTTTCATGGCTCCCGGACGAACTCCGTCTGCTCCTTTTGTCTTCTCGGCCTTCGATAACTTTATGACATTCAAGACTAATGCTTTAGTGGGGGGGGTTTGGTGTTCACTGGCATTTCTGGGACTGCTGGCGGTATTTGTGAATGTGTTGCAGGTGGTGTTCGAACTGGGAGTCCTTTGAAGTGATAAGCTATATGTATTTTCTTTTCCACCTCTCTGATAGTCATTTGTCCCTCATCATCTTACATTGGGTTCTCTTCTGTTGATCTTTTCTCGGATACAGACCTCGTTATTTGATAGCGTTATGAGATTTTTTTAACTGTGGACTGTTCTGAGTCAGTTTCCGGAGTGTTAAAAAATCACGGATTGATATCAGTTAGAGAACCATTGAAAACAAGCAGGGAGTACTGGACAGCTGCTGTTTCATCCTAGTTTGGGAATCATTGGCAGTACGCACCTACTGGGATTCGAACCCAGGACCTTCCGGTTACAAGGCAAGCTCGTATACCATTCAGCCACTGGGACCCGATTCAATGGCTCGTGAATTCTAACTTCTACCGATTCGTGATTTAGCGCGACCCCAACCATTGTCGTTGGTGGGACATCCATCCACACACGTGACATCTAATTGGACCTCACTGATCACGACTTCTCACTAGAACTCAGGAAACTCCAACCTGTAGCAAGTCACTAGCGATGATCAGATTAACTTGGGTGCGTACTGCCGATGATTCCCAAACTAGGATGAAACAGCAGCTGTCCAGTACTCCCTGCTTGTTTTCAATGGTTCTCTAACTGATATCAATCCGTGATCAACTCGTAAAACATAACTAATCCTTACAAACCAAACTATAGAAATGTTAAAAATCGTCTTTTGTCTTCCTTGACATTCTTCCTCACGCGTTTGTTCAGTGTTATGTGGAACGCATCTTCTTATGTTGTTCGTCTCTTCACCAGTTCATCTTTTCTCCCACAATACCTCTTTCCGTCATTGCTTTCCACGTGTTTGTATGCATCTTATCCCACTCCTGTTTCTCTGTCCTTCGAATAACATCTATGCGCGTTTTCCCCATCATCTTATTAAGGTGATTAATAATAAGAAAATACAAGTAACCTGGATTACCACAACAGATTGTCTTAACAAGATAACAGGAGCCGGTAGTTATCTGTCTTGTCCACCAAAAATAGCAGCAAATGACATCTAAGATTTAAGAAATGAATCCATTCAAATATATACGCATCAACTAAATTATACATCAGATTTCTGTAAACATTTATAGTGATGAACTTGGTTTAGCACCAGGTCCTTTAAGTGAGTTTCTGCAATTATTTCCAATGTTTCCGTTGCGTCTATCTTGAAATTATTCACAAACCATGGATTATTGATGGGAATCATTAGGAATGTAACTAAAATAGCTTGATTCATTATTTCTAACAGATTTTTATTTTATTTTTGATTACAGTCTGATTCTACACTGTAATTTGGCATAACTATGGAATTTTCAGCATGGATATAGGTAGCCCAGATTAAGGAGGCCGACAATAGATATCAGGTGTGAGTAAGAAGGGGATCGAACCTCGAAACATATGCATGGTCGGAGAGATTCCTAACCACTGCGCAAACGACGAACATACATCTCATCATAAAAAATGATCTCCAAGGTTAAAACTCCAGCGTATTTGTGATGATTGACAATTTCTATCTCTGTATTGTTTAAGTAATTACTGCTGATTGTTAATATATTTCTCATATGAATTGAATAATAATTCCGCCAAATACAAATTCCTGAATTC